AATGTAAGTACTGACAAAAATTGTGAGTATGTTCAAAATAAATATACAAGTTGAGTATCTTGTAGAGATTTAATTAATGTGTAATTGATAATTTAGAAGAAAATTGATAAGGTAATCTAAAAAATAAAGAAAGGATTAAGTGAAATAAAAAGTTTCATTTTAGAAAGTTGAGGGAATATTGTTTTTATCAATTCAAAGACGATTTTTAAAATCTCTCAATCCATGTTAGGTATGTGTACACCATCAATTCTCGAAATTCCATTCATCAGTTTGTATAAAATAAATAAAATCAACCAATAAAAATAATAAAAATAAATACGTACCGATGACATGACGTCACGATGACGTAGTGAGGACATCGGAAAATTATAATATAGATATATAAAAATTTGAAAGAAAAATTGACCAAAGTTGATATTAAAATAACTAATATAATTATAAATTTTTAGAAAAAAAGCATTTGTATAAAAAAAAAATCAAAAACCAAAATCCTTTTTATAAAAATATAATATAGCCAAAGGTCTACATACGTTGACATAGAAGCCACAAATAAAATTTATGGTGGAAAAACCACATAATAGTGCTTATCTTAATGATATATAGTTATATATATCATTGGTTTACCTCCCCCCTATAAAATCCTGACTATGCCTATAATCCTTGGAGCTGAAAAGTAACAATCAACCTATCTTACAATCATCGGGTTATACCAATCATGTTTTTAGGAGTCTGAAGCAGAGCCCTAGCAAAATATTTTCAGCTAGGGGGCCACGCATTAATAGAAATTTTTTCCTATTTTTATTAAAAATTTATCAATGTAATATTAATACAAAATAATACTATAATATAATACGGCGATTTTTAAAATTTAACATAAATGAATTAAAGGATAAATTTTTTTTCATAAGCCATAAATTAGTGTTGTTAAACGGCTCGTTTTGAGCTGATTTTTATAAACGGTTAACCAGAGTTGTACAAAAGATCTAAGGCAGGAGGAGAGGTATAAAACATAAAAGAAATATTATATTAATAAAATTGAAAAACATCTGGGCTTTTAATAAAGAGGTAAAAAAATAAATATCATGAATATCTTTGAAGATCGTTAATCGCAGCGATCTTCAAAGATCTAGATCTTTGAAGATCGTTACACAAAATTTTAAAAAAATAAAAGATCTTCAAATTTTACGATCTTCAAGGATCTAGATCTTTGAAGATCTTTTTATTTTGAGCAAATGTACAACTCTGCGGTTAACTCAATATTTTAGTCAGAAAAATATTGCCTAAGCATAGGCGTAACCAGGGGGGGGGAGACAAGGGGAAATTCTCCCCCCCCCCCCTCAGAAATTTATCACTTTTTGTGAATATCATTTTAAGCTAATAAAAAATATCCCCCTAGTCCTCTCCCCACTCGACCCCCAAAAATGTATGCATATAACTTAAACAATAATTTGAAAGAAAGAATGTAAAAGTTAATATTTTTTTATAAAAATATTCATCATAATTTATAAATTTTTGCAAAAAAGCATTTTATATAAAAAAAAAGTGAACCAAAAATGCTTTTTATGAAATGGAATATAAGATAAGTCTTAAGACAAAAGTTAAATGTATTATAATTATTAATAATAGATCCATAAAATTACTAAATAATATAATATATCAAATATAATTTTTTATAAAGTGAGTAATTTTAATTTATTTTTCTTAATAAAAGTAAAATATAATTATAAAACTATTGATAAAATTAAATCATAAATTAAATAAAAAATTAAAGGACAATACAAACAGTGGAATATTGTATGTCAATGATTTACAGTATATCTAATTTTATCAATTATCATATGACAATCAAGTAATTTTTACCAATATAGCGAATTATATATTTTACAGAAAATAAAATATTGATAAGGACATCAGAAAATATCTTTTAAGGACATTGTATAAATAATATGAAGATTAATTTTTAATATTTTGTTTAAAATAAATAGTTTGCGTTAAATAATTAAATGCAAATTGTTGCTATATTTATTATCAAGAGCATTGATTAGTAAAATTTGTTAAAATATTAACTGTAATATATTCTCTAACTGTCAAATATGTCTGTAAAAGTGGAATTTTACCTAGTATTTTGTAACTAATTCTATATAATAGAGGATTATCAACTATATGCTTACTTACTTTTTCTAAATAAATTTCTTATACTTGTTTGGAAATTATTACCAAGCTTTTATATTAATGTATATACAAGTAATTTATTATATTTTATATAAACTAATAAAAATATATTCCATATTTGTTCCTGTTTTTGCTTATTATCTTTCATCGACTCTCTAGTGCTCTATAGAATTCTCTTTATTGTAGAGAAAGAGTCCACAAAAGAAGCCGTTGGTACCCTAATGATGATGGCTGCTGAGTACATTTATACAATTCTTTAAATGCATGATGATATTATTTTTATACATTATATTTAGGATATTTTCATAATTATGTGTTTTTTTTAACTTCTGCAGCTAATAATCCTTTAACTATTTTCATTTCATGAAGTAATGTTTCCATATTTAAGTTTAATAATGATTATAATCGGTCATTTTATACGATATAAAATAATCAGGGTCAAAGGGGGACAATGTATTAAAACATGATAGAAAGAAGATTATAGTCATCTTGTGTAAATCTATTAAAAAACGATCAACACAAAATAATCAATAATTTAATAATAATTCCTTATTAATGAATTTCACAATCAAATTGTAATTTGAACTGGACTAAAAAATCTTGAAAATATATAGGCGTTTTACGTACCCTTGATGATTTATGGGGAGTGAGATTAAATTTTGCTACAGGTTTTACGTACCCTTGTTGATTTGTGGGGAGTGAGATTAAATTTTGCTACAGGTTTTTCAGCCTTAATTCTAATCAAATCAAAAGAATTATCGCTTTTATTTTTTAATATATTGATAGTGGAATAAATACAATTTTTAGCATCTACTAGATTAGTACCTACTGACTGTAGATACTTATTTATTGGACCCATGTTATTTTATCTCATGAATTATAATGGCTGATATAACCTAATTTATATTAACTTATTCAGATAAAAGACCAGTGGCTTCGACTGAATCATGAGTGGAAACCTCCGAATTAAGAGTTATATTAGAAAAGTAAAATAATACTTCACCAATAGCCTCAAAATTTTCATAAATGATGCGAGAGGCTTCCAAATGATCAGTCCACCTCTGGTCTAAAAGTCTTTTAAGAGTATGACCAGCATATTTATAGGAAACGTTAAAGCCCCTAAAAATTTATACAACGCATTGTATAAATTAAAAAACATTAGAAATGATAACAATATTATTTTACCAATTTTGAACCACAAGATGCAATATGTATAAAATAAACTTTTTTATTAATTTTTTTTTGAAGTAGGGTTTGCACTCTTTCATTTCGGTCAGACATGACGTTTACCCCATTATATGCCTGGCTTATTATATTCGCTGAAATAATATTTAACTCATTAATTTGCTTTAAAATGTAATTAGTAATGCTTTCAGCAGAAAGACACTGTAAATTAATAATTCCTATTATATTTTCTTTGACTTCTCTAGAAAAAATATAACGAATATTTATGATCAGGTTTTCACAACCTTTTGCATCTTTTGTTTCATCAGCCTTAAGACAAATAAAAGGCATCTCACTTCTGTTATATTTATTTAAAATATAACCAAGCACCATATCTGCCATAATAGATATTACTTTGATTTGAATCTGGGGTGATGTATATGGGGCATTTTTGGGTATAAATTTCATAATTTTATTTAATTCAGGATATTTTTGGATGGAGCCTGAAAACATTGCTATAAATAGTCCAGAAGAAAAAATTATGTTTTCATCAGTTGTAGCATCTATAATTTTTGTTGAACCAATCCCACGAAAAGGTAGCTCCTGAATACTAAGAAATAGCTTCAAACAAATATTGATATAAGATAGTAAAGATTACGGTTAATTTGTAGGCTTACCAAAATTGTTGTTTTCTCAGTATTTTCTTCATAATTCTAAAATATTCACCGCTGTTTTAAATAACTGGTTATATTATAATAATAATATTGTGATTGAACAAACCATAATAAATAAAATAATTATCATTGAAATAAGTACAATTTAAAAGTGATTAAGCGCCTATATAATGTAATACACAAACACACATGAAAATGATAAAATAATGAATGATGATTTTTTAATGGAGACATGTTTTTTGAGCAAATATTTAAAATTTATTTTAAAAATATAATATATAACAAATTTTTTTAAATTTGTGGAGGCGGAAGGGGCCAAGATTTTAGGGGGCCATGTTTGGGGGCCGAAATTTTTTTGTGGATGAGCCCCCCCCCCCCCTACCCCAGGGTTTCCACCGTGGCAACGGCCCTGGTCTGGAGGGTCACATTCTCGATTGACAGGCTCTAATTTGTAGGCATCACCAAGCATTGCATTTTGCAGAGATAGGTGATCAGATTCTTTTATAGTTGGATTAGACGAAATTGATGGATTAAGCTATAAGTCATCTTAATCCAGTAACCTTTACTGTTGTAATGCCCGAATTACTAACGAGGTTGACTTAACCAATCGTATAGGTATTTTTACTAGGTTATGTTTAAAAATCATGTATGACTCTGATCCCAATTTGTGTTGTTAGCGATACCTTGTTCTTCATTGATGATAAGAAGACCAAAATTTTTACTTGAAATTGCCGTTGAAAATTCGAAGTCTTATTTAGAATTCAGAATAATAAACAGAACCCAGAACCTTATCAGCTGTCGAATTTGACAGATTTGTCATAGATTTTTCCTTTTATAATGATAACTTTGATCGGAAAGAATAGGACTTAACAAATGAAATGGAATTTTGATGTCTATGGATTCAAATATTCTTAACTCACTCTTTATCATGAATATGGTTATTCAAGACTAAAAAACAGATAAGCATAATAATAATTATTAAATTACTATTACAATATCGGAAAGGGTAAGTTCCACTCATTTAGTTAAACTACAACTGGGTACAAGGTTTGTTGGTGAGAAAAAAATCGGCATAATTTTATGAAGGGTGGGCCTTCATAAAATTTACGTTTCTCATTTTGGGCAGGTCTATGACCAACGTGCTAGATAAGATAAGATAAGATAACTTTGATCTAAAACAGTAAAATTGAATGGATCAGGATATGTACCAAGTAAATATTTTGTATTCACAGAATATTATAATAGTAAAGTCGTTTAGGAAAAAAAAATACGGAAAATTAAGATACAAAGTAATTTTAAATTATTTAATTAAAAAATTTTGATCAGAAAAAAAATTAAGAAAAAAGCAAAGAGAAGAAAAACTTATATTAAAATTGGAATGCAAAACACTTATTCTTGCAGGTAATTTTGATTATATTTTAATATATTAGTAGGATATAGATGAAAAATTATTGAACAATATAAATAAGGAAATTCTCTGTACAAAGACTATAAGTATAGCATTTCCTGGATCCATACTTGATAATGCCCAAAGCCAGATATTAAAGACTTATTTAATCGGTCAGATAGCTAGAGCTGCTACTATTTTTAAAATAAATGAGATTATAATATTTAATGAAATACCTAAACTTTATGAAAGGTATTGAATGTATTATATTCATAGAGTTTCTATATATTTTTATTTATTATACATATCTATTAGGGCTGTGTTGATCCACAAATTTTTTACCAATAGAACTGATCTGATTAATAATTCCAATCCAATATTTGGATTTTATTTACAGCTATTTCTACTCCAATGTCATAAAAAATTAATATTTAGTATGTAAAAATATAACCAATAAATTTTTGGAAAAACAAGAGACATTTTCAAATTTCTCTTGGTTTCGATGTTTTATCCCAAATGATTAAGTGCCTTTTGATTTTTTTATTCCTAAAAAATTTATATTAAAAATTGGACAATGTTTATGGCTGAATGTCACTTATTAAATTTAAAGTCCCTTTCTTTTGTAGATTATAATAAGCATAATTTAAATTTTTTAAAGCATCTTTTATTCATTTTATATTATTAGAAAATCATATAGTATCATTCACCTAGCATCTATTTTCAATGCTATTAAGAAAAGAAATAAAACATTATTGTTTGAAAAGGATATTATGTGACTAAAAAATGATATATATATTATAAAATAACCAAAAACAATGTTTTAAGAATATCTGCCTAATCTAATTTTGAAATATTGACCCAATCTGATTTTTTTAAACAGTGAATATCTGTCCCAATAATCTTGGAACAGCTCTAATATTTATTTTTTAGGATAATAAAATATCATAACTAGATTTTTTTTATTTAAAAGTTCATCTACAAATGATATTAAATATGAAAAAAGTAGCCTAGAATTTGCTCATGTTTTACAGTACTTAGAATGCCCTCAATATTTAAGAAAAACTCTTTTTCCACATCATGCATCACTACAATATGTAGGTTAGCTTATTATTTTTTTTAAAATCAAGTTTAAAAAATTATAAAATTTTTTTAATTAGCCATTATCTTTTATTGCAATTTCTTTTAGTTGTAGTGATATTTAATTAGTATAATTAATTTTTTTTTATTATTCATAGGTTTGTTAAATCCTTTGGACAGCCCTCATCACTTAAGAAGGGAGGAGGATGAAAATGTTTGCCTCTATAGAGAGGGGGTTATTATAAATACAAAAGGTTCCCATTTTTTAAATAAAAAACTTGATGAAAATCTTTCTGATTTCAAACCTGGATCTAATTTAGTCGATATAGGTTTATATCAACCTGCCAAAATAATTAATAAATCATTAAAGCCTGGCACAAGAGTTACTGTTAAGTTGATTCCAAATCAGAATCCTCACAACCTTATTAATTCAAATATTAACTTGGATAAGTCTAAAAATGGTATTTCAAATGATAATAGTATCAATCCTAACAACAGAAAGAAGAAGAAAAATTTGAAATGTAGTTTAGTTTCACCAACAGAACCACTTCAAGCAGCAGGACTCTATTGGGGCTATAATGTCAGGTTGGCATCACAGCTTTCTAAAGTTTTCTCTGAATGCCCTTATCCGTAATACTTTGTTTAATTTATTCTTTTTAGTGATATATTTGTTATTTAACATATTTATTCATTCATTTTTTTGGAGATGCACCAATATCACATTTTCGGGCAATACTGATATGCAAATTGATACTAATATTATATCAGCAGATACCACTAATACCCAATATAATATCAAAAATAAAATATAGTATATTTATATTTACTGCAGAGAAAGAAAATATATAACTTATCAATATTATAATTTGTTTATTCATCATTTATGAAATTCGTAAAATTAAATTGAAAGAAAATAAAAGAAAGATTAACAACACCATCTTTCTTTTTATTGGTTTACAGGGTTGTTTTTTTTTATTTAGTGATACATTAAAAACAAAGACGATTGAAAGATATATTAAATAAGTTTGAAGCGCCTAATATATACAAATTCCTCATTTATATAATAGAAAGTTTAATTCTCATTTTCTTAATGAATTTAATAAATTATATTTTTGATATTTAGGTCATAGCCTAATAATGTAAAAATAAATGGTATAAATCATTTTTTTTGTAATTTACGGAAATTTATTAATTTTTAAAAATTTTAGAAATTAATAAAATGTTATTAAATTTTAGCTTAAAGTTTATAAAGTTGTAAAATTTTGACGAAAAAAAAGTAAGTAACATTAATTTATATTTTTAAAATTTTAATTAGAAATTGGCAGTTTGGAAGTATTTAAATTAAATGGGAAGTATAAAAGAAATTTGGTAGGAATTATAAATTTCAAAATTTACAAGACTTTAAAAAAATTTAATAGAAAATTTTGGACATGTTTTATAATTTTATAAATTTCGAAGTTTTTTATTTAGGTCATAGTTTAAACTAAAATTACAACTACAACATATATTTTAAAATATGATAGGAATAATAATTTACATAGTGCTTTAATTTTGTAAAAAATATTATATTATAAAATTCTATTTTCGTTAGGTTAAACTTGATTTTTCCGAAATTGGCATCCTCTATTTTTATATAAATAGAGAAAAGTTAAAAATATTAAGGTTTTTTTTAATTTGAGAAAAATTTTTTGCCGTAATTTGTTAGTTATGGACATATCGATATGTTTGGCAATATTCTTTATTTTCATTTTTTTTATTTCAGACTAATTTTGTTAGTTCTATTTTCTCCGTATTCTAACAATTATATTTTTTGGGGGTTTTGAATTAACGGTGGGTTTAAGGGGTAAATTGTAGAATTAGCACCCATGGCAGATTGCGAAAGTGCTGGAATAGTTAAAAAAAGAATTATCAAACCTTGACGAGGAATCTGTAGGAATGTTTTGATTATTAAATAAAATAGGGTTTTTAGAAGTATTATTGGATAAAATATTATTAATATTTTTTATACTAATATAAAGTTTTATGAGAATAATTTTTAAAAAATTCAATTTAACTATTTTTCTTCTATTACATAAGTGAAATATTTGTATTTTTTATGCACTCCTGGTTCGACTAGCTAAACAGCTTAAAGAGTAAAAAAAAATATTTCGAGAAAACAAAGAAAAAAAGCGAGTAAAAATACGAAAAATTAACAATTAATTCAAAAACTGTCTAGCCTAGGCTAAACTGCATTAAGTATGAAAAATAAGTCCAACCAGGACACAGCCTTCAAACTTATTTTAATATACCATTTAATCTTCTTTGTTTTTAATGTATTAGTAAATAAAACTCCTCTATGTAGAAATTTTTGTATGAATTTTTTTTAAACATTATATACTGTTATATATTTTTTTATAAATATATCACTTTTAAGTATTGGCAACTGGTAAAATTTAAAGTATTGGCCACTCTCTAAGTTAGAAACCTTTGAGTAAAATTTTTGTCCCAAACCTGGCCATGATCTTTGGCAGGGATCCTAACCCAGAGCGAAACTTTTAAACTGATATTAACCTTTATTTACAGAACCGAACCTAAACCGTTAAAAATTTTGTCACCCAAACCTGAACCTAACCTCTAAAAAGTCTCTTAACAGGTTTATATCTTTTGGTCTAATCCTGAGGCGAACTTATATTTGTTACGATTCCGATCTCTGGTCTCTAATGGCAACTTTTTTTAGATCTATGCCTGGCCCATTGCCCAAATTTTTTTAAAAAGCCTATATATGGAAGAAATCTCAAACTCAAAATATTTATTTTATTTTCTATTTTAAAATTATGTATTAAATTTAATTATTCGACATATTCAGCTATTTATAACAAATAAATAATAAACATTTCCCACCTGATTTTTTAAAAAACTTCTCTTATTTTTAAATGCATTAATTGTGATATTAGGCAAAAAAGTAAAATTAGGAAGCATTTATTTTTTTCAAGCCAGACCAGGCTGATTTTATTAATGATTTACCACTGGCTCAGCACTGCAGAATTCTACTACCAGTATCGCCCTGATACATATGTCAATATTGGTTCTTCTCCCCTTTAAAAAAAATATTATTATTAATTATCTATTTTCAGAAAATATGATTTGAAAATTGGCACATCAGATAAAGGTTCCAATATATATCAACTATTCCCTACTCATTTCAATCAAAATAAAATTGCAGATAAGATAGAAAATAATGATATTGCAAACCTATGTTCATCATACAAGTTAACATCTATATTTAATATTGAATTTGATAGAATATATATGTAGTATTTTTTTCAACGCTCTTGAACATTTTATTTTTGACATTTAGGACTTCCTGAATTGGCTGATGGCTATTTTACCTGAGAATGCTCTTTACCATTTCTAATCTTTTTTTGCTATCTTATTAATCTTGTAAAGATCACCACTTAAATTTTGCTCTCCTAACTTAGCATATTCATCTATACTTTTAAATTACTTCTTGGCCGCAGTATTACTTTACAATCTATTATAAAATATGTATGACTTTTCTATTAACTCTTATTTTTTATATTGAAAAGGATATTTCCAAATCCATTTTTTTGTGTAAAATGCTTGGGAAATTCAATATCTTTTTGCCCTTACTATTAATTTAGTTATTCTAACTGATATCTCTCAAATCCTTTTTACTTATGTTTTCATTCAAATCAGCACCTACCACTATTATTTCATTTGATTTACGTCAATAAATATTTTAGTTGCATAACTCTTCTTTCTCTCTTTCTAGATACATTATATATGGGGAATTAGCATAAACAACTTTCAAGATCACCTTAGTCATATCATAACTTAACATAATATCGCTTATGAATTTTTTTTAAATATAAATTAAAGTTTTTGGTGAACAATTCGCAGTTGGTAGAATACACTACACATAATACTATGTGATTTAGATTGTCAATGATTAATAACATTTACTATACATATTTTGAAAATATCTTGAAAAATATATCATTTATTATGAAAAAAATATTTAAATTTACTTCAATATGCTCTTCATATTATATTTAAAAAAAATTTATTCTAAAAAATTAAGATTAAATTTTTATAACGATTAGGAAAATAAATGGTCTAGTCACTTTATCACACAATTTTATTTACCTTTTGGATCATTCCATGTCAGATCGATAAAAATAAATATGATTATCAAAACTACCCCTTTCGATTTTTCAACTAAATTTAGGATAATAACAATGTTCGTGTTACTTGTACCTGCGAAATTTTTTAACCTTCTATCAACTGTAAAGCATAAAATTGGTGTCATTAAAAGTACTTTTCAAGAGTAGCTAGTTACATTAAAAAGTTGTATGTACAAAAGATGCCAAAAAGGATTAAGTTTTATTTATTTCTAGAATCATTACCGATCCATAAAATAGACAATTCATGCTCTTACCACATATATCTCTATAATAGCTAAGAGTCAAATTTTGTCCAGATATAAGTTATATGAACATTATTTTGTATACAAAATTTTGTCAATGGTCGAATCAGGATCCAATTGCCATAGAATTATCCAATTTCAATTCCTCAATTTGTATCCATCTTCTAACAATTGTTCTAATTGGGATTTTTTATACAAAGGCATTTTTTTACGTTTAAATATCAAAGTTTCCTACCTTAGCAGGCATCAATATTTATAAACTAAATGTAATATGATTCCAGATAGTTCATTTTTGCCTAGGGCTAGTAACTGTAACTAGTTACATTATTTCAAAAGTAACTATTTACTAGGTTGTATTGCAAGTTACTTTATAAATATTATATACCCATCATTTTTAATATAATTTTTTTTACAAATTTTGATCAATGGAATTTAAATAAAACAATTTAAAATAAAAAATAATTGCACCGTATTAAAATTTGTCATATAATTATGCATTAAAAGAAAATATAATAATATAATATATGGGCACCGAAAAATTTTATAAATAACACAAAATAATATTTATTTTTCATAAAAATTTTAGCCTAATAAATTTTACCAAAAAACGATTTTCATAATTTGTGTCTAAAGTTGTGCTAGTTTTTCTCATAAAATAAACTTCACTAGTCTGATAATATATAGGTTCAAAATATAAATCATTATTAAATATTCATTGTAAAGCCTTCTACTCAAACTAATTTATACAATATGAGATGGTAATTTTATCTAGTCTTAGCGCCTAGCGCGCTATCTTTTTTGGTAGCTATAGCTAATAGCGGCTACTTTTTTGTAATTATTTAATTTTTTAGCGCCCTACTTAGCTACTTTTAAAAAATATAATGAAGGTAAGTATAAACATGAAAATTTAAATATAATATCATAATTAATTATAATTTTTATGATTTATTATTTAATTTTGAAATTGAAATATATTTTCATTTGTATTATAAACCTAAATCACGTGTATAATTTAAAATGTAATCGCCTATGGATATCCATCCAAATCGTTGAAAGTTATTCAGACAATGATATTAATGAAATGGAAGATACCAGGGAAGAAAATGTTCTTAATAGCTATAATAAAAATTTCCCATTCCCTAGATTTGAAATTTTTTTCAAATAAATATAAAAACCAAAACTGGTTATTTGTTTAAAATGTAAAAAAAATATTTACTCAAATCAATCCAGTTATAACCTTAAGAAACACCTAAAGGTAAATTTATTCTAATAGTATTTATTTTATAAGACTGTTCATGCCAATAGTTTTAAGGAAATAGAGAAACATCTAAATAATTTTGGTATAGGCGAGTCAACATCCAAAAAGACTAATTCAATTCAAATTAATTAATAATACAAATGCCAATATTTCTCAGAAATTGGCTGATAAAGTCATTGTTGATTTTATAATTGATACAGTTCAGCCAATGTCCTTGGTTGATAATCCATCATTTACCATGATGATTAAAACCCTATCCCCTGCTACAACAATTATATGTTGCCAGACACTAATGAATAAAATAGCAGATAACTTTAGTGATAAAAGATGCTCTAATAGTAGTTATCAGAGGTATCATATATATGTACCACGGCAGATAGTTGGACACATAACACTAGGTAAAAACTTATAAAATGCAACAAATTACCATAAATATTTATTTTTATTACATAAATTTTTTAATCAAAACTAACTATATTTTAATATTTATAAATGTTGATTTTTATATATTTCCTATACAATAACAAGCAAAAAATAAAATAAATTTGTTTCTAAATTTTTTTTATAAAAGAAGCTTAAAAAGTAGCCAATGCTACTTTTAAAAATATTGGCTAATAGCGCGCTACTTTTTTTGACAAATAGCGATAGCGCGCTACTTTTAAAAGTAGCGATTAACAACCATACACACTGCCATAACGAATATCATATGATTTTCAATATTCGGTAGATTGTTTACCATTTTTGATAACAATTATTTAATTAATAAATACATATTATAATAAAATATAATAATTTTTCTTAAGTAGTTAGCTGTCAAACCATAAATAAAATTTTTTTTAAAAATACATGAAAAGGGAAAGAATAAAGGAAAAATGTATAAGAGCTTTTTCAATATTTTTGAGTTAATATGTGAAATAAAGTGGACACCTCATTATAGACCGTCTAATGAACTCCTTAATTAAAATTAGGGATGTATCGATATTTTTGTCGGATCGGGCCGTTATTTCATTTTTTTTAAATATCGTATCGGCCATTTTATAAAATTTTCCTATCCGATGCGATAAAACGGCGTCTTAATTTTTAAAAATTTACTTTAAATTTCTTAATATATTTGTTTGTTACTTATTATGTAAATAGATTATTTATATTATATAAGTGATTTATTAATAAAAAAAATATTTTATATACTTTTAGATTCATGAATATAAACTATACTGATCATTATAATATATTTATGTTATGGTTTAGTTAAATTATAGATGTTATACTATTAAAAAGTATATATGTGATGAGTAAAAAAAATATGTAGTGATGCAAAATCGCTCCATGAGCCGATTTTTAAAAACGGCTATCTCAATATTAAAAAATATATTGCCTAAACCTCGAGATTTTGATATTAATGTCAAAATTTTATGTCATCTATGAGAAAAATCTTCATGTTTGTTTAATATTTTCTGGATAAAATAATTAGTTAGCCTTTAAAAATCCACTAAAATAGAACGATTTTTCATCATTAAGAATTAAAACGATTAGTATGTTTACAAAATACAACATCAGATATAATATCGGATTGGTAATCGGCCGATATCAATTTTATATCGGATCGGACTGGCCTCCTAAAAGTGATATCGTTACACCCCTAATTAAAAGAGAGATACATTTTAAATATAATATCACGAAAACCCCCCACCCATCCTTTCTTTTAATTTTATTTATTTATTGCCCAATAGCTACTCACCAAATATTTTATATATTTAAAAAAAATTTATCAAGACATTGTATCATTGTTTTTGGCGGTTTAAAAGGCTTAGAATACTGCTTCGAGAATGACGATATCCTAAAATCCGATTACAATGATGTTAAAGATGTTTTTAATTTATATCTTAATGTCTGTCCTTCCCAAGGAAGCCGAACGATTAGAACAGAAGTTAAACTGATTGTTTATATATTTTATAACTATTTATTCTGAATCAGGAAGCTTTACTCATTGCAATGTCAATTTTGAATCCATTCATAAAGTTTTAAATTGGAAGCCTTAACCGTAAATAATTTAAAATTTTATATACATTTTAATTTTGTGTACCAATGAATAACATAATATATTGCAAGGATAAATTCAAGATGTTATTATATAGAACTATAGACTACTTAAGCCAAATAAAATATAACCGATATGGGGTGCCACATTGATTACTTTTTTAAACATAATTGACATTGGCGTGATAGCTCAGATATAAATATCTTGACTAAGGCCCAGTCTCAGCAGATTAATTCAGATTTTTTTGTTGAAACCAATTTGATATTAAAAATGTTGTACCTTCTTCATTGAAATCAAACCTATCTGTTCGATTTCACAGGTTAGTTTCTGAATAATTTTAAAATTGACCTAACCATCTTGATACAAGAATTTGCTTAATTTTATTCAAAATAATTAATAAATTATTTAGGGATGTACCGATATTTTTTATCGGATCGGGCCGATATTTCACCTATTATACAATATCGGTTATCGGCCAATATTATAAAATTTGCCCATCCGATCCGATATAAAATGGAGTCCTTAACAAATAAAATGTTATAAATTTAAAAAAAAAGTTATATCTAAAATCATTTATTTTTATTAATAAAATCGAAATCCATATTTTTTTAATAATAATAATTAGTTAATAAACATTCTGCCATATTGTTATTTTTTTGCGCAATCTGTTTATAAAAGTGTGCGATAATCTCTTCAATCTGTTTTTAGTGAAGCTGGTGATATTGACAGTTATCATCGCCGCAGGCTGATTTCTGATAAATTGGAAATTTTGATATTTCTAAAAAGAAATCTTCGATATATTAATGTTAAATATTATTTAAATATATTTAAATTTCATAATATATTTGTTTATTACTTATTATGTATATAGATTAATGTTGTTACTTATTATATAAGTGATTTTTAATAAAAATATTTTATATACTTTTAGGAAATAGAATTGAATATAAACTATAACTGATCTTATACTATACATAAGTTATGGTATAATTAAATTATAGATGTTATACTAATAAAAAGTATATTACAAATTAAAACCATTGGCATCTTTACAGAATACAAAATTAGATATGATATCGGATCGGTTATCAGCCGATATCAATTTAATATCTGGAATATCGGATCGGATCGGCCTCCAAAAAGTAGTATCGATACACCCCTAAAATTATTTATATTATATATGAGAGTTCTGCGCCAGCCCTTTGGTAAAATCATTAATAAGTTATAGGCTCAGCCCAAATAATATTATTGCTATATTTCCTTCATATTCTATCTTTTTTTTAAAACTTGATTAATAAAAATAAAATGTCTGGAACTAAGTTAAAGAAGGATAATAATTTGTCAAATTAATTTTTTAAATAATATAAATTTACTAACATTTGAGCGTTAATAAAAATTAAGATATATATTTTTTTTATTTATGATTCAAGATTTTTTATGAATATTTTATTATGCAAAAAATTAATGCGACAAATTATTATACGCTTGAAAATAAAAAAAAATTGCAGAAAACGTGCCTAAAATTGCATTGTATAACCAACCAACTTGTTTGGAAGGGGCTAACTACACTGAAAGAATTCATTCTGATCTGGGCCTTTTTCTTAATATTTTAATATCACTCGGAATAATAAAGTATTATTTGTAAAGTAAATTAAGGACCATTAAATATATATCATTGCAGTTTTAGAATTAATCAATAATTTTACCATACCCGACTTAGTTTGTTTGATATTGGAAACCAGCAATATCTTTTCCTCTAATTAGCATTTAGTACCTGAGACTAATATTTTTTTATTATTTATAATAATTTTATTCATGATAGATCATAGTTCAAGACCCAATCGCATATTTTGACTAGATGGAAACAATAAATAATTTTACCTTGTAATATGATTATAAATACTTTGTGATTTTAAATAAATAGTATATATTTGAATTTGTCTATTATAATTATTATAAAACAAAAATTTAGTTAATAATATTTATTTAATAATTATGATCTCATTAAAAGTAATCTTATATTAAGTATGATATCCATCTTTAGTTCAATAGTACCTTTCTTAGGTTTCCATAGTAAACTAGATTGTTTCCTAATTGCCTTTCTTCACATTTCGTGCTTGGGCGAGGTTATTGATAAGTAAGACATATTTTTTTTATGTCCATCTACATCACATTCATTGTGTTTTCTATTTTTCTAAAAGGTTCTTTACGATCGATTGCAGTTTCTGACACCAAATAATTTAGTTTTTTACAACACTAAGAGAACGGCAATCTCTAATTTATCCTATAACACAGAATCGTTTATTTCCATTGACTTTCCGCCACCTCGAAGAAGAGCTGGATTTTCGGGGAGAGTCCAATATCCTGTTGTCAAATCCCTATCATTATAGGTGCTTAAGTAGCACGGAACGGGGTCTCTCGTATTTAAATTATTGTGGGCGCCGGCTAGCTCAAGTGTTATATGTGGATAGACCAAAAATAGGGGTATTGTCGACTTTCGAATATGGCACGGGCGTGCGGATAACGAATTTGTTAATCCAAGTTGTAGTAGTGCTTTTACGATGGCGAACACTAAAATGCTGGCACAGTCAAAATTGGTCTTTTCAATAAATAAAATAAAAAATCTGTCATTATATTATTCATAAATGATATATAATAGATAATACATAGATTGACTATTCATTCATAAAAGTGTGTATCAATGCAAATCAGCTGGTGACGCCATATTAATTACTCCTTATGTAATATAAAAAATATGTAATAGTGCGTACAAATGTTTCAACACAATGTTTCAAAACGCAAATAAAAAAACGTAAGCGCAGCTATGTTTAAATTTATCTTTTTAATATGAAACATCTAAATTTAAAACAAAAAAAAATGCTGTCCAATTTAAACGAATGCATTTAAAATGTATTTGCTTTTTGAAACGCTAAAAGTTGAAGACAATGACTTATAATAAAATAGGCTATTCTCTCTAGAAAATATATATTATCAGACCATATTCAAAATATTCTGAATAAATTATTATGAGTATTTAGATAATAATAAAATATTAATTTTTAATATGCTACTAATAAATCTTATTTTTTTTTTGATTAAAAATATATATTATCTAATAAAGGATTGTTTTTAGTTTATATTCTATTTTTTAAATATCTAATAAGGTGGATATATATAAAGCATTTCTTGAATATATATTGATTTTATTATGATACTCCTTTTAATATTATGAACCTTTTAAGGTTAAAAACTTAATTTGTCGGGAATTTTGAATCATCAAATAAAATATTAAACCTTTAAAATAAAAATCCCAGAAGTAATTTTAAAACATAATTTTCATACATAGATTATATGTCAAACTCTCTCAATAATATAAAAATTTATGGTTTTCAATCTTAAAAGTAGAGTTAATTCTTTACTTTCAAAAGTAAATGTTTAGCTTTCAGATATATTCTCAATAATATAACAATTTGTATTTTTGCGCATATATAAATAAATATATAGTATCTAATAAAGTGCCCTAGTTATCATGTTTAATTTTCTTAAGGGCCAATAAAAATGATTATTATAATTTATATGTATATGTTATGTTCCATATCAAATCAACTGAAGATTCAACCCGACCCTCTTCGATTTTCTTTAAAATTTATATGATGGTAGTATATACACTAACTAGTAAAAATATAACATTTTAATTCTCAACTCAGCTTACTTCATGAGATATGACCATCTTAGAAACGTGGAAATTCCAATGACATATGTCATTGGGAAATTCTAAAATACACTATTTAATTTGAAATATCTCAAAAAGTAATTAAGTTAAAGACATAATTTAAATCTTATTAAATAGATTTAGAATAGCTCTTTAATATGATATAAAATTTATTATATTAAAAATAGATCTATTAACAAAAACCGGAAATGCCTATAAAATAAAAATTGCTCTTTTTTTCTTTCAATTTTGTTTTACGGATAGACATTATATTTCTTAATGTTTTTACAAAATCCTAGATTGGAACTGGGCCAATAGTTATTACACTTTAAATATAAGTAGTATAGTTTAAATCCTATATTATACCAAATATAGAGTAATAATTTTTTTAAAAAAAATGGGAAATATATGTGAATAATAGCATTAAAACGAAAATCCTAAGCAATCTGATTATTTTGCTTTTTTTAAATATTAAAACCAAAACTCCTTGCTATCGTTTAGGGGGAATTACTAAAAGGTTGGTGGAAAGAGCAAGCCTGAAACCTCATGAAAATCATATACTAACTCCTATGGATTTATATAATTATGCGAGAAGTAATATCCCGGGTAATTAATTACATATTTGTTAGCAACGTTGAATATTTAAGAATGGAAACCAATCTCGAAAATAGATTTTTAACAGCCAAACGAATTCCTTGGACACAAAAATATTCATTTATTCCAATGGAAGGAAAAATGAAAGTCAAATTTTATTCTAATTAGATTACTATTTAATTAATATATTTATTCCAATATTAATTTCCCATTGATATTTATGTAATATAAATAATTAGGTAAATAAAGTTATAAATATGACACAATGTCTAGTAGTGGTCTGCATAGGGCCTAATTTTTCTAACACGGCCCGAAAATTTATAAAAATATATATCCGGCCCGATCCCAAACGAATTTTTTATTTCATAAATTACTATACATTTGATATAATATAAGATTTAAGCCATCTTATATTTAAAGTGTAATAATTATAAGCCCAATACTCATCCTAATCTAGGATTTTGTACAAAAGAAAAAAAGCAATTTTTATTTTATAGACATTTCCGGTTTTTGGTAATAGATCTATTTTTAATATAATAAATTTTATATCATATTAAAGGGCTATTCTAAAGCTATTTAATAAGATGTAAATCGTGTTTTTAGCTTAATTACTTTTTGAGATATTTAAAATTAAATATAGTGTATTTTGAAATTTTCGCGTTTCTATAGATGGCCATATCTCATGAAGTAAGCCGATTTGAAAAGTAAAATTTTACATTTTTATTAGTTAGTGTATACTACAACATACAAATTTTGAAAAAAATTAAAGAGGGTCAGGTTGAGAATCGACTTTTTTTGGTTGATTTAATATGGAATACAACATATCTTATGTTGTTAAAAGTTGAAATGTAACTAGTTACTTTATTTCAAAAGTTACTAGTTACAGATAAATGTCAAAAGTAACTACTTACATTGGTAGCTATTTTGTAAATAATTTTTATTATTCTTAATATTTTACTTATGAATTTAATATTAAGGAGTTGCTCTAATTGTATCATATTTATCTATTTAGCAACCCTATATGGAGAAAGTTTAAAACTTTATTGCTTTTATTAGGATATTGTATTTCCCTGTATAATCTTAATCTCTTGGTATTTATTTTATTTATTATTTTTAATGTTTTTATCATTCCTTGTTAGTATATTTATTTATTTTTAAATTAGTTTTATTTTCTAATATGGCTTTTATATTTACTAATAAAGTAAAATCATATTTTTTTACAATTATTTTATATTATGAGTCATTTAAAATAATATATATCAAATGATACGTGAAAAAAAAATACTATGCATAAAATAAGATTTTGTTATTCATAACTAAAATCATTGAAATATAACATCAAATATAGGGTCATAATAATATTTTATAAGATGTAATTAATATTCATAACTAAAAATTAAAATATACAGTCACGATATAAATCTACTAATATTTTTTAAATAAATAGATCTTCGTTTAGGCACATACAAATTTATTTATTGGCTCGTAAATAAAATTGTTTAGTCACTTTCTGGCGAATATTGATATTTGACTTTTTGCTTTAATTATCACCATAATGATGAAACTGGATGTACAAATAACTTTCAATTATTAATTTTATAAGAATTTGATAATGGGTTAATAGTGATTCTTGATTCAGCATATGAATAAGATCAACAAAAATTTTATTTGAAATATAAATGGTACTATCCTCTTAAAAATAAATTCTTTTTTTTTATTAGTATAGAGTTTTGAAAAATACAGGATACACTTTCGGTAAGTTGGCATAAGTTTGATACATTCTTAGATGAAATTAAACCCCTGATTGTTTTTTATTTTTATCAAATTATAACCTTCACTATTTCCATTATCGATCATAGCTGATATGATATGCAAGTATAATATTTCACTTTTTTTCCAGATATTAGTTTGCGTATTATATAACCAGCTATATAAGTTGATATATTATTCCCAATACCCAGAACATTTTTTTGGTACTATTAAGATTATAATGCAGACTTCTGTTTAATTTATTCCATCTTCAAACTCTAATAAGAGTTTTGCTACATTTTTCAAAAAAAATCTTCGTAATAGCGATATATTAGATGGAGCTTTAACTAGTAGGACCTAATCCCAAGCTCAAGTATTTTATTTATCATTCACTATATACCTTTTTTATATTTATTTTAAAAAATTTGCATAACTTACGAACTTTAATTATTAATTTTTTATCTTTTCATATTTTAATTACCTTTCAGCCTATAAAACATCACAAGATCACCCTGAGCTTTTTTTTAGTTGTTTATGCAGCAGAGGAGGTTTTAACAATAATCTTTCAGCTTATCAATTATGATCAGGCGTAAGAGGTGTCTTGATAGCAAGAAACTAACGACTGGTAATTGTATTCCAATCGACAATACCAATCTTATTTGTAAAATTTCCGAAGAAATGATGACAATAATAACCATAATAATCTTTACGAAAATTCATTGATATTTCCCCAAACATTCCGAATATTGTTGCTAAACGGCTCATTTTGAGCCGATTTTTAAAAACGGCGGACTCAATATTTTATCCAGAAAAATATTAAGTCAGTCTGAAGATTTTGATAGAAGGCACAAAGGCCTAGACATATATTAGTAAAATTTT